TTTTTTTATATTATAGTTTTAATATAACAAGGGAAAATGAATTAAAAATAAAATACTTAGACAATTCTATGGATTAAGTATCTTAAATTTTTTTAGTATTTAAATTTTTTTATATTATAGTTTTCGGGTCATTAAAAACTATTTCTTTAGATATTTTTTATTTTCTTTTGGATTAATTATTAAGGCTTTGTTTTTTTTTTTTTATAAATGAACCTTTATTATATTTTGAAATCTATAAAAATATTATAGTTTAAAATTTTTTAGTTTAAGCATCCAAAGAACTTGTTTTTGACATTTAACCATAATATTTTGATTTGAAAAAAACAACACCAATGAGATTACATTTATGTTGTAGTAATTTATTAGCAAAAAAACTTGCAATGTTTTTTCTTCCAAAAAAACGAAACTATCAGCGGTTAAACCAATTTTTCCATAGTTAGGTTATGATTAGCGTATCACATTTAGCTGAAAAGCTAACTTATTTTTTGAGGTTTTTTAAATTGTTATTTTTGGCAAGCCAAAAAGTAGTCGATAAGCTAGCTTTTTAAAAAGCTATTTTGAGTAGTTTTTTATTTTCAAGATTTCTAGAATATACTGTTAATTAATTATAAAAAACATATTATTTTAAATGTCATTTTATATCTTTTAACTAGCGTATCAACTAATTTTTACCAAACATTATTTTTTGTTGGCTAGCATCTAGCTTATAAACGGGCAGCTAATTTTTCAGTTATCAGACTATCAGATAGCTTTTCAGCTAGTCTGTCAAACATAGTCTTAACCAAATAAAAAATACAAACCATAGTGATTTTTATAAAATGTTATCCTCTACAGAGTGTTAATGGTATGTGTTTTGTTCTTGTATTTTGTCAAGTATTATTATCCAAATATATTTTTCTAAATATATAAATATTATTTTCAACCGTTAACAAAGATATCATTGTTTATATATTTTTCTCAGGGTGTATTTACGGGTAAATGTGGGACTTCACTGGACCATGGTGTGGTTGTGGTGGGATATGGTTCCGAAAATGGGAAGGACTATTGGCTTGTTAGGAACTCATGGGGGACAAATTGGGGCGAGGACGGGTACTTTAAGATGGAGCGTAATGTGGTTGGGACACGCAGTGGTAAATGTGGGATTGCACTGATGGCTTCTTACCCGGTCAAATATAGAAATGAGAACCCGAGTATTTCAAACAGTGTTAACAGTGACCTGATAAGCAGTATCTAATTAGGAACGATTTCATCAATGGATACCAAAATGGAGCGAATGAGTTATGTTGGGGTGGATAAACACACGTCCTCTCAATTGGTGGCTTATGTTTATATCAATGAGCTCATGGCGGGTTCTTGATATTTATCTATTATTGTATTGTGATTTGAGATAGTTTGATTGCTTTTTATATGTATGTCAGGAAAGTAATTTTTATATGTATGTCGGAAAGTAATTGTATTTCTCTTGTGGCAAAATTAGATATAAATATAGGAATATGTTTTGAATTGAATGGTTGTTTTTTATATGTAGTATTTGTTTGAGATTTCTAGTGTTAGTTACAAATTTTCTTGCAGTAGTACCATGACAATGTTCATAATCACAAAATTATGTGTTTTGATATGTCATCATGTTGTGTCAGCAATTCATAATCAATAATCAATGACATGATAGGTATAATGTCTTTTGTGCATTTTTTACCATAAATTTGTATTATCATTATAATTATTTTCACGTATCTATCATATCAGATAGAAAATAACTATAATAGCAATTTTTTAAAAAGAAATACCAGAAAAATGAAAATGACCATACTAGCTATAGTTTTCATTAGCCATCATCTACATAAATGTATTTTTATATTTTAGATTTTCACAGGTCAACACATGTAAAAATTTTGGTTGACTATAATTTTTTTTCCATTTTTTGTAGGTCATCCTTATGATTGATTGGGAGAATCCAAATGACATGACGATTGTTATGAAGTTTGTATGTAAAAACTAAAATGTTTTTTTAACATTTTTTTGAAGATTGTAGGATATCCTTGTGAAGTTCGTATGCGAATATATGAAGTTTTTATTTCCCATAATTTTTACCGAATAACCTACTTTTGAGATAAAAATATGACTTTTCAATATCCAAATTAGGAGTGTAATATGTCCATCAAAATTCTTTATTACAAATTAGGAGTGTAATATGTCCATCAAAATTCTTTATTACAAAGGATGATCAAAGTTAGGCTTTTTTACATATTTTTCACCGACTAGCTTATTTTAGAGCTAGATAAAGTATGGTTTTCCGACATCCAAATTTAGAATGTAATATGTCCATGAAAAATTTTTGTTATAAAAAACACAATGAAAAAAGAAAAGTAGCTAAAAGAGAATTTGTATGAAAAAATTATGGAGATTTGAAGTTTGTGGAAAAAGAAAAAATTGTACGCAAATGCAAAAAATCTATATTTCGCATATGACCCAATTATAAAATTATGGATATTTTGGTCATTTCTCGTTAAAGGCTATTTTATGTTACATTTTTTTAAAAATAGCTATTATAGTCATTTTTATTATTTAAAAAAAAAAAAAAAAAAAAAAGAAGTTTGCGGGTCGGGTCGAAGCCCAGCGCTAATAAAATAGGCATACTCGCAGACTCATAGGTCGACCGGTAAACGTGGAAGAACAAGAACTTACAGCCAAATTGAACCCGAAAACCGGTTTTCCCGATCCATCGTCGGAGATACATGCCGTGTTGCCGGAGACAACCGTTCTACCAATTCCGATTCATTCTCTGTCGTACCTTTGACTCTTGCTTCCAATTTGATCTGCAAATCGGATAAAAGAACCATTGAGCCTCACGACTGATACCGAGGATTTTGTTCGATCTATGTGAGTCATCAGATCCCTTATGATCTACTACATTCATTTCAAATGCTCGCATCCCCTTAGAAATCCGTCAGATTATCTCGTTTTTTTCGTATGATTTCGGTGGTTTTGAGTTATGCAAACAGGAGACATTGATCGAATCACTATCTTACATATGACATTACTGATGGCTACTCGATAATATGATGTGCATTTCTAGCAGAATCACTCGTCGTAAATTATGAACAGTGTTCCTTTTGCGTGAGATTTTGTTACCAGAATTGAACATATATTGAGTCATGCGCTAGCTGCTTGTTTTAAATTAGAAAATAACATTGATCAGACGATGAATGCTTCCATTTCATGTGTTTTTTTTTTCAAATATGTATCCTCAAATTCAAACATTGATGTTGTGTTTCGCCATTTTATAATATCTGCTCCAAGCTAGTAATGAAGTGTTATAGGAGTAACGATAATTGATCAAATGGATGCTTAAATTTTATTGAAATTAATGGAGGCATAACACCTGTTATTGATGTTCAATGGAGTTATATATGTTTTAATTGGAAAATGGAAAGCATTGATCATTTGTGGGACTTTGTTCATGTGCAGAATGGCTTCAGAATCCAACTCATCATCATCTCAACCTCCAACAGAAGTTACAGATGATAAAACTTCTGCAACCACCATCTCTGATCAGACTAATAATTCTACAACTACACCATCTTCCATGGAAACTCCACCTGTCATATCATCTTCAGATGGAGTTCCAAATTTCCCCAAACCCACATCACCACGAGAAAACACTTCACAGTCTCAAAGTCAAAACACAGGAAAGTGGGCCATTGCACGAATCGCCAGTGGGTTTGGTTTGATTTCTTCAAAATCCTCTGGACCAAATGACAATTCTACCCCATCTCCATCTGCATCTTCACCTTCAGCTGTTCTTCAGTCTGTTGGAAAAGGTTTAGTTGACGCATCTTTGGGTGCAGTGAAAGTAGTTCAAGTTAGGGCACGCCATATGGTCTCCCAAAACAAACGAAGATACCAAGAAGGAGGGTTTGACTTAGATTTGACTTATATTACTGATAACATAATCGCAATGGGGTTTCCAGCTGGCGATATGAGTTCTGGTCTTTTTGGTTACTTTGAGGTAAACAATCACTAAACTCAACCACAAAGCTTAACAATCAACTTTTTTTCATTCTTTCTAATGAATGTCTTAAAGCTAAAATGCAGGGATTCTACAGGAATCATATGGAAGAAGTAATCAAGTTCTTTGAAACTCATCATAAGGTAACCCTTTTTGGCTTTTCATTATCATCTCATCCCATAACCTCAATTTGCTTTAACCTATGGAAGAACTTGATATCTAATTTTGCTTTGCAGGATAGATACAAAGTGTATAATCTTTGTTCAGAAAGACTCTACGATGCTTCACTATTTGCAGGAAAGGTATATGCTGTTTTCCATGATCAATATGAGAAGGGCATTTACGTCTTTTTCACAAACAAGAGATCATATCAAAGCAGACAACTGATCTTGCAGATTTTTCCATCTTTATCTGACTGCAGGTTGCATCTTTTCCATTTAATGACCATAATTGCCCTCCGATTCACTTAATACCATTATTTTGTCAAAGTGCTTACTCATGGTTAAAGGAAGACATTCTCAATGTTGTGGTTGTTCATTGTAAAGCTGGAAAAGCAAGAACTGGTTTAATGATTTGTAGTCTTCTTTTATTTCTAAAAGTAAGTTTCTTTTTTATCTTATCTTTCATTAAATTTGGTTTCTATTTCTGCTATTAAGTATTAATCGAATTCTTTCTACAGTTTTTCCCAACATCAGAAGAGTGTATTGAGTACTATAACCAAAGAAGATGTGTAGATGGGAAAGGATTAATACTTCCAAGCCAAATTGTCAGTTATCTATTTATTTTTCTTAAATTCTTTTGGGAATTATAAATATAAACAATTAATAATTAATGATATTTCGTTTTGTAGCGATATGTAAGCTACTTTGAGCGGATCTTGAGAGATTTTAATGGCGAAAGTCCACCTGGCAGGAGGTAAATAATAAAATAAACAACTCTTTTTATTCTCTTTGACTTATTTATTCATGAAATAATTACTGAAAGTTATTTATTTTTCAGGTGCATGCTAAGGGGATTCCGGCTTCATGAATGCCCTTATTGGGTCAGACCTTCGTTGACTGTATCTGATCATAATGGTATGTGTAATATGTATGATTTTTTAAGAGTAAATTACATGAATGGTCCCTATGGTTTGGGGTAATTTGCACGTTTGGTCCCTAACTTATTTTTTAACTCGGAAGGTCCCTACAGTTTGTTTTTGTTGCGAGCTTGGTCCCTTTCTTACCTAAAAATACTATTTTGCCCTTGATTTTTTAATTTATTTAAATAAGGTGGGGTAGATAAGGTGAGGTGAAAGTAGGGTTGGGGTGTGTTTATTTAAATAAATTAAAAAATCAATGGCAAAATAGTCTTTTTAGGTAAGACAGGGACCAAACTCACAACAAAAACAAACAGTAGGGACCTTCCGAGTTAAAAAAACAAGCTAGGGACCAAACGTACAAATTACCTCAAACCATAGGGACCATAATGTAGTTTACTCATTTTTTAATGGTTCTTTTGTGTTGTGTCTCCATTTGATATCTACTTTTCATTACAGGGATTCTATTCACAACAAGAAAGCATCCAAAAACAAAGAATCTTATGGTAATTATTATTCTTGGATTTATACATTTTAATCCCGATAAATAAATATAAAAGTAATTAATTTTGCAGCCGGAAGATTTTTGGATTCGTGCACCGAAAAAAGGGATTGTGGTTTTCGCGCTGCCCGGGGAACGTGGGCTGACCGAACTGACCGGTGACTTCAAGATCCAGTTTCATGATCGACAAGGAGATTTTTACTGGTGAGTAAATATTATTATATTACAACTAATTCTTTTTGAAACTTGAAATTGTTTACTTTTTCTAAAATTGTTAAATCTTTTTTGCTTTTTCAGTTGGCTAAATACAACAATGATGGAGAACAGAGTACTTTTGCAGGGTTCTGATTTTGATGATTTTGACAAGGTATTACTTGAATTGTGAAAATTGTTTGTTGGACGTAAGGGTGGTAAATGACCATTTTACCCTTTTTGCAGAGAAAATTGCCGGTTCCGGGGTTCAAAGTGGAGATAGTGATGATCGATTACGATGGAACGATTCCGGAGAAGTATAAATCCAGTGACAAACCGATGTTAATAAGCTCCAATGATTCCTCACCTTCATACAACAATCCTTCCAATTCCGCCCGGAATAAGGATTCCGATGAGAATGTGTTTTCCGACAGTGATGATGATGATCAAAAGGACGAGGACAAATCTACTGTTTCTATTGCACTGCCACCTGGCAAAATAGAATCACAAGTAACAACTTTGAACAAAAACACCCAACAACTTTCCTTAAATAGCAACCCCACACTTGTAAAAACTGAGGCTGACAAACCCAAACCCAAACCCATTCCAAATTTGAATCCCGGTGATATTAAGGCCATTGCTGCTGATGCTTCCGTTTTTTCATTTGGAGATGATGAAGACGATTTAAGCGACTGATTTTTGTTTTTTTGTTTTTTTGTTTAATGATGTTGTCAAATTGACCATGAAAGATTGTTGTTGACTTTTGTTTTTTGACTTTTGATGGGACTTTCCAAATATTGATATAACATGATAGATAAGAAATAATCTGAAAATACAATTGTTATAATAAATAGTAACTTTGAACAACATTTGACCCAAAATTTCAAAACGCCAAAACAAAATTCATATATGACCAAGTCAAAGTCAAACTCCGGATTGTTTTCTTGCTTGAGAAACAATGATCTTGTGTAAAGTCGATATTTCTTGATCTCTTTCACTTAATTTTTTCTTCAAGCTTTCAATCTCTTTCAAGTAACCATCACAATGTTCACATACAACCGTTTGTTGTTTTAATTCCATTGTCTCATCTTCTGTTTTTAGCTTCTTGTGATGCTGAGCTGGCACCTCCTCTTCGGCTCCCCGTTTATTCGATGCTGCCACCTGGACATTACTACCGCCAGGTTGGACCATCTTCCGGACATACAAACTGCCACCTAGACCTGATTCCAGTTTAAATAAAATCAACTTCTGTGGACGCCCAGATGAATCCTGAAAAAAAATTATTACAAAAATAAGTTGATTATTTAATTTAAATTATTTAATTTTAGTAGCTTACTTTAATTTCATCACCCTTAAGACCCTCGTACACCTTATCTGCCTCCTGTTTATTCTTAAAAACTGCTAAAGCTGAATACTTGTCTCCTTTACCTTTCTTATTTTCCTACAAAAAATACTTTCATTAATTTTGTTTACATGAAAAACAAATTAATTAGAATAAAATTCATTTTATCAAACCTTCACTTCAATTGTGAAGTCTCCAGGAATAATTTCAAGTAATTTTTCTCCAGGAATGGCGACTGGTATGCGGTGACAAAGTAACTTCATTGCATCTGAACCTTCAACCACCTGAAATTGCAACTAAATGATCAATCAAAGGGCATTTTAGGAAATAAATATATAAAGCAAATTAAAAAACTCACGTTAGTTTGATTCAAGGGTATATTTTTATCAACTCCTGCTTCTATTTTAGCAATTACAAGTTTCATTGCTGCTCGTGCATCCTCCAAACAATCATGTGGTTCACCTTCTTTTCGAAGTTCATATCCCAAAACTGACTGCAAAATGTAAAACAATTATTATAGATGACAAGGGCATTTACGTCTTTTTGCAAGTTTCTTAGTGAAGAGGGTATTTACGTCTTTTTGGGTGGAGCAAAATATTACAACAAGATATTCGAAACTTGCCTTACACAAATCATTCAAAGATGGTCTCCTGAAATTGGAGCCACTCCAATATTTGAAAACAAGAGAGGTGTCAATTACTCGTGTGTGATCTATCTTCAATGCTGAATAAAAAAGTTAAACAAGGGTAAATTCGTAAAATGTCCAACTTTCTCA